TAATTTTTTTTTCAAAGATTTGTGGTCGTTAACTGTTTTTAAATATTAAGTAATATGCTGCCAATATTGTACAATATTTTTACAATAATGAACTGTTTTCTATTTTAAAATGCAATTTATTCCTGAGGTGTCAAAGCTGAATTTTCAGCAGCTATTACCCAGAAATATTACTTCAGAAATCATTCTAATATGTTGATTTGCTGCTGATACATTTTTTTTCTGGATTCTTTGATGAATAGTAACGTCTTTAACTGTCACTTTTCAACAATTTAATTAATCCTTGTTGACAAAAAAAACTTGCCAACCCCAAACATTTTAACAAAATATAGTGTATATACAAAATATGTGACCCTGGACCACAAAACCAGTCTTAAGTAGCACAGGTATATTTGTAGCAATAGCCTAAAATACACTGTATGGGTCAAAATTATCGATTTTTCTTTTATGCCAAAAATCATTAGGATATTAAGTAAAGATCATGTACCATGAAGATATTTTGTACATTTCCTACCGTAAATATATCAAAACTTAATTTTAAGGACTTCATTTGGACAGCTTTAAATGTGAATTAAATGTCAATATTTCGATTTTTTTTTTGCACCCTCAGATTCCAGATTTTTTTACAAATAGTTGCATCTTCAGCCAAATTTTGTCTTATCCTAACAAACCATACATCAATAGAAAGCTTATTTATTCAGCTTTCAGATGATGTATACATCTCAATTTCTAAAAATTGACCCTTATGACTGGTTTTGTGGTCCAAGGTCACATTTCAAAATATTAAGGAAAGTAATAAGTCTTGATATGACTACTTTAAAATGAATAGTGTACATTTCATTGTTTTTGTTTTTTTTATGTAGATAAATGGCCAGAAGTTGGACAATCTGTCACACAGTGCAGCAGTGGAGCTGTTTCGGTCTGCAGGGGAAGATGTGCATCTTCGCATACAGCAGGGAGTAAGTGCTGCAGGCTATGGCGATCGTGATGTTGATAACATCTCTGAGAATTGCCAGTAAATTAATCAGCTTCACTGACATGTGTTTATGTCTACAGCCTGTCATGCAGAACGGCCCCACCAGCTCTCGTGCCGATGGAGAATCTTCATCTGCTTTTGGCACGTGGACAATGTATACTGTAGCTGCCCTGGCAGTAATAACAGCAGTAGGTTTCATTGCTTACAAACGCCTTCAGCTGCACCCCCGGGGGTCCCGGGGCCCGTTTTAACCCATCACATGATTACATGACATTTTACAGACAAAATCTTTTTTTCTTTTTGTTTTGAACCGTTTCTGCTGAGGGCCCAAACATTAACAGGGAGCGAAAATGGAAACCAATTAATGTTAGCAGAACTTGCAAATTTTCTTTGTTTATGCCATGTTATGAACACACACTTGTAGCTATAACAGGTTTTCACAATTCATTTGGTGATAATCATTGGTGCTTAACCAGAATACCCAGCATGCCTGATGACATTGCATGGTGGAATAAGGGAACAGGGATGATGAGCACAGTGTTTGGATCAAGAGCTGCAGAAATCTCCATAATCTGAATTAGACAGAGGGACCACAGGCAGGAGACAGAGGCCGAGGTGGAACTGTGTTTCTGGGCAGAAGACAGGCCCACAGAGGAGTGATTTTTCTCATCTTGTACCTCCGGAGCGCTGGAATGAGCCCGGGGTGTGCCATTAGATTTTTTTTTAGGTCTTCTCAGGTATCTGCTTGTGCAAGAGTATGTTTGAAAGCGTGCATGATGTGAATGGAGTTAACTTTTTTCATTTTTAATACTTTAATTTCTCACTCATCCAAGTTCAGACATGCAGGATGCATTTCTGTGGCTGCAGTAGTGATGGGGGAAGTGAAGACATTTAGTTTTGGCCTTGTATTTGCTCTTCCTCCCTCAGGGGAAAAAAACTAGAGGTGGCACTTGTTAGAATTCACAATCAGAATGAAAATGTAATATTGTTGATATTGTATATGGCTTGTGTTTCTGGAATCGTCTCGTCTGGTACACCAATGGTTTTCTGCACTTCTTTCAACTCATGCCTTGCCACATTGAGCTGCTGGTCTCAGTGCTGCTCCCTGTCTGCAGTTTTAGGGGCGGCAGCTTGTGCTGTTTCTGTAATATCTGTTCTGTAACTGACAAAGTTGTGTTTGTGTTATCATGGCAGTTCCTCTCCAGGTCTGTGTGGATGAAACCACGTGTAAAGTCTTCATGAAATGCTCATTTACTTTTCACAGTTAGAATAATGTTGCCATTCACATGCATCATGCACACATTTATGTCTGTGCTTCTCAGTGAAATGTGTATATAATAAAAACAATTCAAATGGCTCAAAAGAATGTGGTGACACTTCATCTCTGAGTGCTTTTTTACATTAAGTTGTTTAAATGAAAATGAATTAATAATAGTGTTTATAAACATGAACCTAAATTGATACATGCTATAAAAATTAAGATTAGTGATGATAAAAACAATTTATGTTTGATAAATGTCTCTATATTTGATTATTTGATGTTACGTGGCTGGATACTTTCCGGACAGCTCTTTGTGTGTGTGTGTATATGTTATACTATATATATATATATATATATTTGTAAATAAAAATGACAGTAAATGCCAGCCAATTACGTAGACCTGTTCAACTGCTCGTTAATGCAAATATTTAATCAGCCAATCACATGGCAGCAGCTCAATGCATTTAGAAATGTCAAAACAATCAAACTGAGTATCAGAATGGGGAAGAAAAGTGATTTAAGTTACTTTTAATTTGGCATGGTTGTTGGTATGCCACCATAACCATGACTATATTGTCTGCAGATTCAAAATATTTTGTACTGTGAAAAACCTAGAAGCTTTCTTTGGCTCATCAGTTTCTTTTGTTAGGGATGGATGAAATGCAGAGAACTCTCTGTATCTCTGTCCCATTCAGATGATTGACTCAGGATAACATGCTGTCTGTGTGTGTGAGTGGATGGACTGCTGCTGTCTCTCTGTCTAAATGGATAGACTGCTGTCTCTCTGTCTGCTGTCTGAGAGCGGAAGCAGATGCCTTTGACAAATGAGTACTGGTATTTGCATGTTTGTGTGTGTCAGCGTCTATGTCGGTGTGTGTATTAGTCCTCCTCATCAGAAATCAATACACTCAAAGGCAGCATTGGCTGAATGCACTTAAAGTAGGAGAGAGAAACAAAAGAGAATGATAATGCAGTACTTCCTCCAGAGTCTAATATTATATTACAGCACATGGCTGAGACAGAAAGGGTGGTGGCATCAGCATGCTTAATGATACAGGCTATTTACAATAAACATTTGGGTTATTTACAACATTTAAAACAAAGGTTGGGGATTCAGTATGGGATATTATAGGATATTATACACATAGGAAGCACATACTATAAACCTAACAGTGCAATTTTGCTCAGACACCATCAATCAAATACTAAACCTGAAGGCAGACAGCCTCACCATGTTATGGGTTACACGCGTATTGAGCATCAAAGCTAACTCCTATCCTCTCTCTGTCACAAATAAACCATGAGAGTAATGAGCACTATCTCAAATGAGCTCCTACACTGTCAAAAAATGGTTAAATTCATGGTAATTGTGGCCAATCAAACATCATAAGCTGACACTAAAATGCAGCAAACATTAAACGACAAAAATACTATATAAATCCCTCCATTGTGCATAACTGATAGTAAACATAAGAAGAATCTAACATTTTAAATGAACTCTAAACAAAAGTGTTTCTGAGACTTATCTATCTAAATATATATATATATATATATATATATAAACAGTGTATAAAAGTATAAATCACCTTGTATTTTGGGTTAAAGACGAATAGAAGAATATACATGTTATGTATTTATATATTATATATGTTAGGAAATTATAAGTTCATGCAGACTTTTTACTTCTAAAACCTATGATTTACAGTAAAATCACATGTATTTTCTTTTAAAATATAATTTAATTTTAATGTTTTTTAATGCATTAGCTTTTATGGTAAGTTTAACAGTTTTTCCTGTAGCATTTTACTTTCTTTTTCCATTAAAATCATAAACATTTTTACAGTAGCTACAGTTTATGTTTGTCAGTCATGGCAAGCATATTCTTCGGATGCACATTAAACATAATGTAAGAAGATGTGTATCTCAAAATACAATTAGACCTATAAATAATAATTATGTTCATAAGCAGTAAACACAAAGTTTAGCTCTCGGCGTAGAGAGCAGAATCATGTTATTTGTAGATCGGAATAACGCATTGCCCCCGCCCCCGCCCCGATATAACGCTCGGCGCGGATGGAGCTAGGGGGATGCTGGATGCGCTGCGTACCGAACATGATGATGATGATGATGTAATAATCGCACGCTCCGCTGGTTCTAGTACACACTAGAATCCTCACGCTCAAGACCCGGCCAGAGTGATGTCATCATCAATACCGTGAACCGTGCTTAGGAATTTTCACCCCGCGTCCGTGCTGCTCAGCGCGGCCTCCATGAGGACAAACCCTGCGGCGCTGATGGCTGTTGCGGTCGGGACTGCAGCAAGCTCCCTTCAGCATCACAGCTGCGACCCCTGCGCTCAGACAAGCGGCAAAACCCGTGCCACCGAAACACGAATATCTGGAATGGAATATCTGTCGTCTTAACGGGATTTCAAACTCCGGATGTGACTGACAGCCAGTCGTTGTGCATCACCGATCATCTGCGCCCTTTTAGGACTTTTTTGGTTAGTGTCTACCCTTGAAAATCGGTGAGATCCGTCTTACTAGGTGCTTGTACTCTCTCCCCCTCGCGTTTACCGGACACTGTCCGCGCGGTGCGCACCCGGAGGCCACAAGTGCCTGTTTTTCTCCCGCTAGATTCACCATTGATGGAAACTGATGCCCTGTTGCCTTTCCTCGCCCGTTTCTACCTCTGCAGCCGCTGTTTCTCTTTTAGTAACGCGACTAGGCCCCCGAGCCCCGCTAAACATCTCACATAATGCTTTTTGATGTCGGCGTAGCGACTTTGCTGTGTGTTTTTTAATCTTCTCGGGAACCGACACCCGGGTGCGCGAGGAGGGCAGCTGTCTCGAGAGCAATAAACGCCGGTTATTTTAAGGGACTGCGCGCGCTTCTCTCTCAGGATGGCAAATGAACCCGTTATTCTTAATGTGTATGACATGGTAAGCTCATTAATCATTTCGTCTTTCATCCTCTACACTGGTTACCGTCAACCTCTCTCTTTCTGGCTCTAATTTTGTGTAATTTTGCATGCAACAACAAATGTTAGGATGAACTATCAATGCATTGATGAAGACTTTAATATCTGGGTGGTCACGGTGTAGTGATAAAGAGTCTGGGCCGCTGACACAGAGGTTTCATTTTGAAAGCACGACTACAAACCTACTTTGCCTAGGTGTGATAATTGTGATACTAAGCATTGACAGCAGTATTGATGTGCGAGTCCAGAGCCGAGATGAGAGCGCGTGTGTTTCTCCTCCCGTGCTGGAGGAGGCGCTGTCACTCCATTGAATTAAAACACTTTACAAGTACAGAACACTTGTGGTCACAGATCTATAATATATAAATAAACATATACATAAATAGAGGTCAGTGATTTTGTTAGGCCTAATCCTATTTTTTTTTTTAGCTTTTTATTACATACTACTTTTCACAATGTACTAAAATCATGTCTGTAAATTTTATGCAATATTATGTCATAAAACATCAAGAAAATGACTTAATGAGTACATATAAGTGGACACTGTGGTGTTTATCACTTTATTTTACATTTACATTAAATCAGAAAGGGTGGGGGTATGCTAGTATTTTTTTCTGTGTACATTAAATCATGTTCTGCATGTTCTATTATTCATGAAGGGCAGCTGGTGCACTTTTTGGCCTCACACAGACACATTTTCTCTGAATATTCACCCCTCCCCCTCCACTTTAAGGCTTATATTGTATAGTGTGTGTTAGGGTTGTGTAGAATTCATTGATTTTAATGCCTTATCGCTAACAAGATGCTCTATATATAGATATCAAATTTACTATAATTAAAATATGATTATATGAAAATCTCTTTCTCCCGTTTGCTCTTTTAGTACTGGATAAATGAATACACCTCCACTCTGGGTATTGGAGTCTTCCACTCAGGAATAGAGATTTATGGCAGAGGTACAGTGACCAATTAACCTTTTGCTGTTATTTAATTATTTTATGTTTTTTAAATTTTTTTCCCATCAAACTCTAGACCTCTACTGGAACCTTGGTCCGATTTGTAAAGAACTTGAAAAAGGCTGTGTCAGCTACAATTAGTAGACATGGTAGTTGTTAGACGTTTTGTCTATATATTTAGAGTTCCGAATAAAACAAAATATTATGACAAAATGAGAGTAAAAATAATTACGAAGTGAATTAGCAGCTGAATATGAATGATCATTATAGCCACATTTAAAGGGATAGTTCACCTTCAGTTGCTGGTCCCCACTGACTTCCAGAGTACCATATACTATGTATGTCAATGGGGACCAACTGAAGGTAAACTATCCCTTTAAGTAAGGTGACATGATATGGCATCACTATACTTGCTTGTTGCTGTACATGTTTTTATTCATTCAACTCAATTTCTGTATCATCTTTCTGCAATCTGAGCCTTGTCACTAGCAATTAAATGCATTATGTACCGTGTTAGCTTTGCAAATGGCTTGACTTCACCTACAAGTGGCAGTGGAGTGTTGTCTATGTCTGTAGTGATGGAACACAACAGAGGAAGAAACACGCTGTAGCCAATTAGTGAAGCCTCTGATCTGAGTCATAAAGTGACAGAGAACATGCTGTCTTTTTAAACTATTTCTTTCTTTTTTTATCCTTTCACACACACACTGCTCAGCAGCAGCATTGATACAGAGCAGACGTAGGCAGCTCTGAAGACTGAGTCATGATTCATTGGGATTTTTAGAAAGCTTTAGGCCCTGTCCACACGAACGCGGTTATTTTTAAAACCGCAGCTTTTTCTACACGGTCAGGCCGTTCGTCCACACGCAAACGCAGCACCAGGTCACTGAAACCGAACATTTTTGAAAACAGGGTGAACATTTTCAAAAACTCCGGTTGCAGTGTTGTCGTGTAGACAGCGAAACCGGCGTTTTTGGCGTCGGCGCCTGCGCTGTTATCTCTGCCTACTGGAAACCTTTTCAGGCTTCTGATTGGCCAACATGGCTTTACGGTTGAGATTACATCGCCACCTGTTGGTTTGGCATGCTCTTAACAGTGCTTCATAGCATGCGTTTGTGTTTTCATGTGGATGGAGATTTTTTTTTAAACGGAAGAAGGAAAAACTCAATTTTTAAAAATACCCATGTACATGTGGACATGGCCTTAGCTTCTCACTAATAAAGTGCTGCAGGAATGACATATTTTTGTAGGCCAAAGTCCGGAAACGAGTTAGCGTTGATCTGCAAAACAATTGTCGTTACTGCAGTGCTCTATACACATTTAAACATAAAAAGAAATTGCTCTGTCAGCCTGTCTCTGTAAAACAGGGATTAAACTGTTAAATATAACTATTGTAAGTAATACTGCAAATATTCTAAAGTCAGTATGAAACAGACATTGTGACCATCTTTTCTTCCTTGTTGTAATGTATATCCGATTAAAAAAGCTTCACAAATGACATTTTCCAGACATTATACTTATGAAATTCCTAAGTGACAATCAAAAGATTTTCAAACCCCCGTTTTAATGTTTGTTATTTTGTTCCCTGTAGAGTTTGCATATGGCGGCCATCCGTATCCCTTCAGTGGCATTTTTGAGATCAACCCTGGAAATGCCTCAGAACTGGGGGAGACTTTCAAATTCAAGTGAGTTTTTCACATATACACACACATTTAAGCCACAAAAAAAAAAAAACTCACAAGTTGTGTTTCTTCTCCAGAGATGCTATAGCTCTGGGTACGACAGACTTTGCAGAGGAGGACATTGATAAAATAATGGAGGAGTTGGGAAAGGAGTTCAAGGGGAACGCCTACCACCTGATGCACAAAAACTGCAACCATTTTTCTTCTTCGCTGTCTGAGGTCAGTATACTCCCCTGTTTTGATAGGACTGGGCTGTATGCAACTTCACTGACTGGTGACATTCTACATTCCCACCTCATTTTATTCTCTCTTTCTCTGTCTCTAGTTGCTGTGTGGTAGAGAGATCCCACGCTGGGTCAATCGATTGGCATATTTCAGCTCCTGTATTCCATTTCTGCAGAGTTGTCTGCCTAAAGAGTGGCTCACACCCGCCGCGCTCCAGAGCCATATCAGCATGGGCCTTCGGAAGGAGAACACACACTCACACACACACGATTCCAGCGACGATGAGCCCTCGTCTGCTATGGAGGCGGCCGCTGGAACATCACACAGCTGCAGGCACACCCGCGTGTGATCTTACATATATATTTACACGCAGTATTACACTAATTTGAACACACATACACTCCAACCTCTGATCCTGCTGCTACAGCGCCTCCTGCTGGACTGGATGAACACCAGACCTCATGGCCTCTCTGAATGAGGAAATCAAAGTCATGTTTTTCAGTAGAACCTACAGGGATTTCAAAACCTTGCAGTGGTACTCTTAAAGTTTTAGAATTGTTTGATTTTTACTAAGATTTTAGGGAAATGAAAACAGTGTTTGCCATTTAGTGTTCTCTCTCTTATAAGTACATAGGACAATATGAATGATGGGCGATCATAATGGACTGCCCCCTGCTGGTGTGTGACAACACTACACTACAGGCCCCTTCTTCATAAATCCTGAACTTTTTTCTTTTAATCCCATCTGGATGTTTTCCAGATTTAGCCGAGTTTGCTGTGTATTAAATTATTTTCTATTTTGTGATGGAATAAGCGTGTCATCTGAAGAAGAACTTACATTCCTAACCTTATTTTTTTTCCTCAGTGAATTTAGTAATATTAATCTGCTTTAATTTAATTATATGATGTCAAACTAATGCCATCTTTGGTTTACATTCATTTAATTTTAGCTCTCTTTTTATATTTTAGTGCAAGGTTTGCAATTAATTTACACTAAAATGGGCAGATGACACCACTGACAGCAGTTGGAAATTGCAGCCTTATAACGGTAAGCCATTGATATGCTGGACTCAACTGAAACAAAACACCCTTGTTGTCCAGTCATCGAGGACACAAAGGGGCCATTTGTGAGGGTGATGTTGGGGGGGGGGACGTGTGGGTGGGGTCTGCACATCAGGTCTGGTATCAGTACTGTACAACAGTGTTGTGATTGAATGTAATGTCTGAGTGATTAAGAGAAAGGGAGTGTTGCAAAGGTGTTATTGGTCATTTCTCTTGACTTTAGTAATTGTGGTTTCTGGCTTTTAAAAGTGCAGACTGAAAAAAAGTAATGTTGTTGTTGAAATGAGTCATCCGCACCTCACTACATTACTTTTGCACAATTTTTTGCCCTGGTTTTCAGTCTGGAGTAGTTGACGGTAGTTCCCAAAAGTCAGATTTCGCAAAAAATAGTGTATGATGGACACAGACCCGATTTTTTATTTTTTTTGCTTCAGAGTATGATTCCATCCAGTCGGAGGATCAAACATGTTTGAGTTGCATTCGGCATGACTTGTGGCAATGACTTTAGTGTAGAATGCCCAGTTTTTCTCTGTAACCATTTAGAAAGCCGGCAAGCGTATAATGTGTGGTGTTTTAAAATCTGTTCCGATTTTAAAAGTTGTGAAATGTATTCCAGCCTCAACTGTAATTTAAGGCCTAAAGACCTAAAGGTTGTAAGGTCTTTCTAGTCTTCAGGCAATAGTCCTTAGTAAAGTAAAGGTTGACACCATATCTAATTTTTCACAAATGAAAATAAAACTGGGAGAGATGTACAGATTATTCAATAGGTTGATTGTCTTATGGTCCTATGGCAATTGTCATGTTTTACACACAAATTTTATTTATAAAAAAGCATATTTTCAGTATTTTGTCAGTTGGATCAACAGCAAAGTTAAAAATATTTCAGTGTTCATTTGTAAAATATTAAATATGGTGTATACCCAGACTATGGTCCATATCAGAGTAAATAATACATCTCTCAGTATTATTTTGACCTTCTGTACCATTTTGCCTGTCAGAATCCTCTCTAGAAGCTCATCTTCTCCTCTGTCTCTCAGGATGGCATGGTATTGTAGATGGCAACACAGGTGTTTCATGAGTCAAATCTATAGGGAATATGTTTTTGGTGACATATTTATACAATTTTATATTTGGGATATGATTACTGTTATTTTGTCAAAGATATTATCAACCTGTGAGCCTAATTCTTATGATGCTGTTTTTGTTTTATTTAATCTGAGGCCACAACTGAGATCTTTTACTAGTTCAGCCAAGACCCGTTTTGTAGGCTTCACCCACTGATGCCATTTCTAGCCTCGATTAGTACGTCTTGTTTTGATGTGATGGACAATTTCAGACATTTACAGATGAATAGAGAATAAAGAAATTAAAATTTTGTTATTTTCCCAGAATTTCATTGCCTTCAAGGGGTGGAGAGGGACATGGTCATTTCTTTTAAACACTTGATTCAATTAATTCATACCTAATACCAAGAGTATTCTCATGTGACTCCTGATAAGCAGCAGAAAAGATAACTAAGTTAGATCATGTGACGTCTTCAGTTTGCAAACTGGATCAATCCAGTTCCAACTGTGTAAACCGAGCTCAAATGATAAAAGTATTAAGTCTTGCAATTAAATGTATTCCAACACTTTATTCGATAAAATAATGTATCTTGAATACTCATATAATCAATCGTGAAAAAAACGTTTTAAATGTTTTTACGTCCGCATGCACGAGCCTCGCCTGCCTTTACCATCCCCCTTGCGCGTGAACACGCATATAAATACTTCTGCGCGCGGCCGCGTTCCCCAGTCTCGAGGCCAACGCCATTTTGTCCTGTAAGCAGAGGTGAGAAGATGAAGCTGATTTCGTAAAAATACACTTTGTTTAAGATGTATTGTTAGTTTAGTGTTGTATTTGAGCTTTGTTAATGCGAAACGAGTTCATTTTAACGACATTTTGTCCGTTATTATGGTTTAACATCGAGTATAGCCTATCTAACGTATCTGCGCAAGCTGACTAGGCCTCGGCAGCACGTTTGATCCGTGGTCATTTAGTCGTGGTATATTTTCTCAAAACTGGCTTAAGTTTAATTTTTACTGACTTAAAGGTATTCGTGATTTATAGCAACACTGGGGTTTTTGGCATTGTAAAGGTGTTCGTTATATAATAATTTTGTGATTATCAATTCAGTGGTTCCGCAGAGTCAACAGGCGGTAACGTACGTTAGATGTTTTTGTTTAAAGCGTTTTTAGAAACGTTTTTTTGTTTTACATTAACTGAAGGATCCACGTGTTGCAGAAACCCATATTTGTCATTGTAATTTTAAAATAAAATTTTTGTAAAATGTTGTAATTTTTGATCCGTGGTCATTTAGTCGTGGTATATTTTCTCAAAACTGGCTTAAGTTTAATTTTTACTGACTTAAAGGTATTCGTGATTTATAGCAACACTGGGGTTTTTGGCATTGTAAAGGTGTTCGTTATATAATAATTTTGTGATTATCAATTCAGTGGTTCCGCAGAGTCAACAGGCGGTAACGTACGTTAGATGTTTTTAAAGCGTTTTTAGAAACGATTTTTTGTTTTACATTAACTGAAGGATCCACGTGTTGCAGAAACCCATATTTGTCATTGTAATTTTAAAATTAAATTTTTGTAAAATGTTGTAATTTTACGAATGTTTTTGCATGTTGTCGGATGTTCAATAATAATTTACGTGGACAGACTGTACTGGATAAATGATTACCCAGTGTTATACCGTGTGTGACCAACAGGCGCACAGATGCTTTTTTCCTATAGTTCAAAGTGCATGTTTGCCAGACTGTTAACAATATAACATTAACCGTATTTTGACTCTTTCCCTAGATTTCCCTGAATCTTATATCACCATGAGTGGATGTCGTGTGTTCATCGGCCGTCTGAGCCCTCATGCTCGTGAAAGAGACGTGGAGAAATTCTTTAAAGGCTATGGACACATTCGGGAGATAAACCTGAAAAACGGGTTTGGCTTTGTGGTGAGTATTTACGCTTTCCTGAGGGTCTTTTATGTGTGAGGTGATGGTGAGATCTACATGTCACTGCCCCCTGCTGTCTGATTTTCACAGGAGTTTGACGACCACAGGGACGCAGATGATGCAGTGTATGAGCTGAATGGAAAAGAGCTGTGCAGTGAGAGGTGAGACTGAATCCAGAGCTGCTTACACCATCTGTCTAATGTAGATGATTAGGCTTGTTTCATATTGTCTAAGTCAGCATGAAATGAAAATGCACCCTATTTTGTAAATGCATCTTAAGAGATCTTGTAGAGTACTGTCATAAGTTCCCTAGAGATTTTTCAGTAGGTTCTTATCAGGTTTTTTAAAAAGTGAAACAAGGTTTGTGGTTAATATATATTGAGTAGAAATTTTACTCTTATGTTAAATTACACACACCCATACTAAAACTGCAGTGTTATTCAGTTGAAGTAGTTTGTTTTTATGTATTTCAAGGTATGTTTACCCAATTATAAAACCTTAAAGGAACACATGGTGAATTAATTAGACTCCTAGGATTTGGTGTCACCGCTGCTGCACTCTATTTTGAACAATATGCATGTGCATTATTTAAAAAAAAAAAAAGACACTTAAACCCTGTCCCCACAAGCTCGAATTCATTCGCCTCCACTTTTGAGTGCAACGCTCGCATCTCAAAATGCAATCAACAACCGATGCATAGAAAGTCCCTGGCCTATATTTCTTTTTCAATCTTTTATACTCGCATGTACGACACAATACACTGTTTGAATTTCATCATGGCTTTAATGATTTTTCTCTTAACCCCAGGGTGACAATTGAACATGCCCGCTCTCGCCGAGGAAGAGGCGGCGGCCCAGGAATGGGAGGACGTTTCTCTCCACGCTTTGGAGGCTATCGTAAATCCCACAGTGGGGGTTCCAGGTACGCAAGAATTGTGAGAGCAATCATACGCCGTTTGTTATTATGATTATAATTCAAATGAGTTAACCTATGTCCTTCTCAGGTATGGACCACCCGTGCGCACAGAGCACAGAATCATTGTGGACAATCTCTCCTCTCGCATCAGCTGGCAGGTGAGCATCCCGAGCTGTAGCAGCAGAGCGGTGTAGCAGCCTTCTGTTGTAGCGATTCATCCCTGCACTACTTTAGCATTTGACATCTGTACAAGCACACAAACAATTAGTTATCTGTATTACTGTTAAACTGGAAGTATTTTTTTCCTCTTCACCTCAGCCAAACCTTACATAAGTAAAAATGATGATTTTAATGTTGAAAGGTTCTCTAACCCAGACCCATGTTTTTCAAACCTTTTCTTTAACAGCTGTGCTCTGGTATTCTTTAATTGGAGTTGCATGCACAGCCTCCGAGGTGCATAGCGCCCTCCCCTGGTTGTGTTCTGAATAGTGTCCCTGTGGTGCCTCACCCGACACGCAGTGTCTGCCGGTCTAAGTCTTGGCTGGGTCCGTAGCACCAGAC